GGGCATGGTGGCTCACACCTGTAATCCCAGCACTTTGAGAGGCCAAAGTGGACGGATCACCTGAGGTCAGGAGTTCGAGACCAGCCTGGCCAACATGGTAAAACCCCATCTGTACTGAAAATACAAAAATTAGCCAGATGTGGTGGTATGTGCCTGTAGTCCCAGCTACTTGGGAGGCTGAGGTGGGAGAATTGTTTGAATCTGGGAGGTGGAGGTTGCAGGGAGCAGAGATTACACCACTGCACTCCAGGCTCAGGGACAGATTGAGACTCTGTCTACAAAAAAAAAGAAAGACAAAAAAGGTTGAATAATACTGCATTATATATGCATACCACATTTCTGTTTATAATAATCCGTTGATCAACATTTGGATTACGTCAATCTTTTGACAATTGTAAATACTGTTGCTGTGAACATCATTATACAAGTATCTATTTGAGTCTTTTGGGTGTATATCTAGAGTGGAATTGATGGATCAAATGGTAATTTTTTTTTAAATTATTTTTTCTTTCTTTTTTTATTTTTCTATTTATTTATATTGCAGACGGAGTCTCACTCTGTTGCCCAGGCTGGAGTACAGTGGTGTGATCTTGGCTCACTGCAACCTCTGCCTCCCAGGTTCAAGTGATTCTCCTGCCTCAGCCTCCCGAGTAGCTGGAACTATAGGCATGTGCCACCATGACCAGCTAATTTTTTTATTTTTCATAGAGACGGGGTTTCACCACGTTGGCCAGGATGGTCTTGATCTCTTGACCTTGTGATCCGCCCACCTCGGCCTCCCAAAGTTCTGGGATTACAGATATGAGCCACTGCGCCCTCAAATGGTAATTCTATCTTTAATTTTTTGAGGAACCATCATACTGTTTTTCACAGTGGCTATACCATTTTATATTCCCACCAACATTGCATGAGGGTTTCAATTTCTCACGTCCTTGCCAATGCTTATTTCCTGGTTTTTGTTGTTATTTTTATAATAACCATCCTAATGAGTGTGAAGTAGTATCTCATTGGGGTTCTCACTTATTTTTATGCCATACTTGTAGTTGGTATAACAGACACAGCAGATTTGGATATCATGTTAATCAATGTCTGGCTCAAATTATATATATATGCATGTATGTATGCACTGATTCTTCTCTAAAATTACAACATGTTTTATAAGAACATGTGAACAATAAGATATATAATACAAACAGCTCAACTTATGGCAATGGGAAAACTGAAAAAATAGACAAAAACTGAAAAATGAAACTATAACTCAAATTAGATGAACATGAAAGTGTGTTGTAATTTCCCCTACAGTTACTAAAATTGGAGTGAAAAAATCTATCTCGAAGTTCCTAGTGGCCAAAGTAAAAATAAAAACAGGGTGGCTAACAGGAAAAAAAAGGCTTTTCTTGGCTCTTTTATGGGAGAAATAAGCTATTGATATTTTTAAACGTTTATAGATAATTGTATTGCTGACACTAGCAGATTTCAGACTGAAAGCAAACAGGATTTTTAAAAAAATTATTGGGGTTGGGATTGGCAATGACTCCATTGCCTGACTACTGTAAGACTGTTTCTTTGGGTAGAATAATAGTTTCAAAGTACAACTGGGGTGATGGGAAGGCAACTCCACCCATCAGCAGAGAGATAAGTTCTATTTCCTTGGACTTTAGTCAGTTAAATTTTTTTTTTTTTTTTTTTTGAGACAGAATTTTGCCCTGGTGGGAGCGCAGTGGTGCACTCTTGGCTCACTACAACCTCTCCTGTGTTCAAGTGATTCTCATGCCTCAGTCTCCTTAGTAGCTGGGATTACATGCCCAGCTAATTTTTGTATTGAACTCCTGACCTCAGGTGATCTGCCCACCTCAGCTTCCCAAAGTGCTGGGATTATAGGCATGAGCCACTGCGCCCAGCCCAGTTAATGTTTTATACAGTACAACGGGTAAATCTTGAATTGTCTTCTACATGTTTATATATGTACCTGTAATTTCCTGCCCATGTCACAGATTATAACTACATGGGTGTTTATACAAATAGTCTTCTTAAAAATATGTACTTATCATCCATTTGGAAGAAGGGAAAGATCTTCATGTTCAAATTTGATGTCGAAATTTCTTGGTCGGGTGCAATGGCTCATGCCTGTAATCCTAGCACTTTGGGAGGCCAAGGCAGGAGGATTGCTTGAGCCCAGGAGTTTGAGACTAGCTGGATAACTTAGTGAGACTCCATTTCTACTTTAACTGGGATCATTTTGGATCTTTTTTTTTTTTTTTCATCTTTTTTTTGGGGGGGGGTGTTCCTTTTTTGTGGAGAATGGGGTCTTGCTATATTGCCCAGGCAGATCTCGAACTCCTGGGCTCAAGTAGTCCTTCCACCTCTGCCTCCCTAAGAGCTGGGATTGCAGGCACAAGCTACTGTGCCTGGCCCTCCATCTCTATTTAAAAAAAAAGAAAAAAAAATATTTTTCAACTTAAAACTACAGAAGCTAATGTATCATTTTCCAAGAATACTACAAAAAAAGTCATGATAACTGGAGATGTTGTCAAACCAGCTTCCTAGCACTTGAAGAGGAAAAAAAATAATTAGAAGTCACATGTAACAGATGTTTTTAAAGAATTGAGAATGTTTGTCTTAAAATTATTCTGAAATTGAAAGAATTGGCCTAAGATTTTACTCCAAAGTTTGGATGAAAGTTAATAACTGACATTTCTTGGGCATTTACAATATCCTAGGCATCATTCAAAGTGTTGTATATGTATTAACTCACTCCTCTAAACTTTATGAGGTTACTTCTATTATTATCATTCCCATTTTACAGGCAGGGAAACTGAGGTAAGGCATGGAGCAGCTAACACTAGGAAGTATTAGAGTTGAGATTCACACACAAACATACGCAGTCTGGCTCCAGAAACCACAGGCTCACCTGCTAAACTGTACTGCCTCTTGATATTAGAGCAAATTAACACAGAAGGACTATTTTGGCCATCTGGTAAATAAATAGCTCAGATATCTTTTGTGTTATTATTGTTTTGTTTTTTCCTTCAATGATCTAACTCACTTTTATTATCCTTCAAATTTCCCTTAATATTCTTGTATACACCTCCTAGTCCTAAATTTTAAAAAATGAATGATACTTCAGGTTCTAATTAACTGATAAAACCTTATGCAGTCATTAAAAATGATGTTTTTACAAAGATTTTTTAAAATATGGAGGAATGCTTATAAAATAAAGTCGCACCATGTAAATTAGGAGGAAACCAGCCTTCTCCTCCCCCCACCTCCTCTAAAAAACATCTAGGAAACTGATAGGAAACTTTCATTGTGACTATCATTGGGTAGGAGAATTAGGAATAATTTCTTATGTACTTTTCATAACTTTCTATAAAATTTAACGGAATATTTTTATAGTCCAAAAAAATGAAATAGACAGACTTTTTTTTTTTTCTTTTGAGATGGGGTCTTGCTCTGTCGCCCAGGCTGGAGTGCAGAGTGATGCAAACTCGGCTCTCTGCAACCTTCACCTCCCAGGTTCAAACAATTCTCCTTCTTCAGCCTCCTGAGTAGCTGGGATTACAGGCTTATGCCAGCATGCCCAGCTAATCTTTGTGTTTTTAGTAGAGACGGGTTTCACCATGTGATACTCGAACTCCTGACCTCATGATCTGCCCACCTCAGCCTCTCAAAGTGCTGGGATTACATTCGTGAGCCACCACGTCTGGCCGACTTCATTTTTTAAAAGGCCAACTGGAGCATTTCATTACAAAAGTATAGTCTGCAGCTCTTCATGATAATCTTATTGCATAATTTAGAATCATTTCCACAGAGCCCTGAGCTATATAAGTGAAGGTGGCACAGTGCAGGCCTGCACTGTGACATGTGGCTGTTTAATTAAAATTTAAAATCTAGCTCCTCAGTCACACTAGCTCCATTCCAAGTGCTCAAGAGCCACATGTGGCAAGTGACAGCTTTTCTAGTGTCATAGAAAATTCTATTGGTTTAGAAGAAAACAGCACTGGTTTAGAAGAAAACAGGGAATCTGGAGCCAGAAAACTTGGAATCAAGCCCGTCTAGGAGCTGAGGCTTGCTGTGTGAAATGGGGCAATTGACTCAACCTCTCTAAGCCTATTTCCCCATGGCCAAATTGGGACTGAAGATAATACCATTTACCATATACAGAGGTTAAGAAGATTAAATAAGAGAATTCAGATGACAGTTCTCTGAAAACAGTAGTGTGGTTTACCAGGTAGCTGTTGCTTCCCAAGTCCCCCAGCTTGAATTCAGCTAGCTTTTTTGAGGACTGATTCCAAATCTTTGAATGCTTCACATCAAGAATTTTACCTGAGTGCCACCATCAAAATCAGATTAACTAGCTCTTATTACACAGTTCCTAGACCAAGTTCGTGGCAATGTGGGCACTTCATTTCTTTCCTGTAAAAAGCTTCAATACACAGCTCTCTCTATACAATAACACCTCCTAAAAATTGTCTTTAATAATTTAAAATCTTCACTGTAAATACACTGCTGTATTTCCATTCCTACAATGAAAAAGACCGCCTTAAAAAAAGAAAAAAGCTGTGTTCACCAAAGAAATAAATGGAGTTTGTAAAATTCCATATAACAAGGAAATCAGACAGAGTTAACAGTGCAGTAATTAAGCAAAAGGTCGTGAGGTTTTTACCAACAATGATAGCAGTTTCTCAAAACTTCAAACTGTCTAGTTACTGATGAAATGGAAGGACTTGCTCATTGTGATTTTTTTTTTTTTCTAACTCCTGGTTTTTGCTGCAAAACAACGTGACTATTTCAGACAAGTGGGAGGGCTTTTGCATTGCCAGAATGCCTCCATCCTATTTCTCACTTAAGCCCCCTCCCCCTCCCCCCCCGCCACCCCGCCCCCTGCCTCTCGCCTCGACCCCGTGGCCTATGAATGCATACTTGCAAGGCTGCTAAACCCAATCCAAAGGAGGCAGGCTCCAGCAGTTCACCACTCACGCTCCTTTCTGCTTCCCCAGGTTTCCGCCAGCTGTGGATGCCTTTGACATTATGACCGCAGAGGATTCAACCGCAGCCATGAGCAGCGACTCGGCCACGGGGTCCTCGCCCAAGGTGCCCGAGGGCGTGGCGGGTGCGCCCAACGAAGCAGCGCTACTGGCGCTGATGGAGCGCACCGGCTACAGCATGGTGCAGGAGAACGGGCAGCGCAAGTATGGCGGCCCACCGCCTGGCTGGGAGGGCCCGCACCCCCAGCGCGGCTGCGAGGTCTTCGTGGGCAAGATCCCGCGTGACGTTTATGAGGACGAGCTGGTGCCGGTGTTCGAGACCGTGGGCCGCATCTACGAGCTGCGCCTCATGATGGACTTTGACGGCAAGAACCGCGGCTACGCCTTTGTCATGTACTGCCACAAGCACGAGGCCAAGCGCGCCGTGCGCGAGCTCAACAACTATGAGATCCGCCCGGGCCGCCTGCTGGGCGTGTGCTGCAGCGTGGATAACTGCCGCCTCTTCATTGGCGGCATCCCCAAGATGAAGAAGCGCGAGGAGATCTTGGAGGAGATCGCCAAGGTCACCGAGGGCGTGTTGGATGTGATCGTCTACGCCAGCGCGGCCGACAAGATGAAGAACCGCGGCTTCGCCTTTGTGGAGTACGAGAGCCACCGCGCGGCCGCCATGGCGCGCCGCAAGCTCATGCCCGGCCGCATCCAGCTGTGGGGCCACCAGATCGCCGTGGACTGGGCCGAGCCCGAGATCGACGTGGACGAGGACGTGATGGAGACCGTGAAGATCCTCTACGTGCGCAACCTCATGATCGAGACCACCGAGGACACCATCAAGAAGAGCTTCGGTCAGTTCAACCCTGGCTGCGTGGAGCGAGTCAAGAAGATCCGCGACTACGCCTTCGTGCACTTCACCAGCCGCGAGGACGCCGTGCACGCCATGAACAACCTCAACGGCACCGAGCTGGAGGGCTCGTGCCTGGAAGTCACGCTAGCCAAGCCCGTGGACAAGGAGCAGTACTCGCGCTACCAGAAGGCGGCCAGGGGCGGTAGCGCGGCTGAGGCGGCCCAGCAGCCCAGCTACGTGTACTCCTGTGACCCCTACACGCTGGCCTACTACGGCTACCCCTACAACGCTCTCATCGGGCCCAACAGGGATTACTTCGTGAAAGGTTAGTGGGGGGCTCTTCTCCTGGGGCAGGGGTGGGGGGCAAGAACGTTGCCTCCTAGGGAGGGGGCATCAGCGATATTGTGGCTGGCATTTGCTGAGCTGGTAGGCGCCGAGGGCCCTCCCACCCCTGTTTTGGTTTTGCATTCTGGGTCCTGTTCTTTGCTGGCACCGAAGGCCATCACTTCTGCAGCATGGATAGAAATACAGATCGTTCTGGGGTGAGCGGCAAAATCACACAAAATCAGCTGTGCAAGCGCTGACATTCTGCCTTGCCTGGGCCCACTGGGTTACCCGGGGCTAGTCCACCAATCTCTTGGTGTTTAGGTTAAAACCTGCTTGTGATATTAAATCTTAAGAATTGGTGGAGTCAATTATTTTTAGTTTTTTTTTTTTATTATTATCATTAATTAGGATATAATGAAACCCAGCATTACCTGGAAAATAAGATACATAGATCTGCGTCCTGTTCTCTGATTAGCTGGGTCTGTGACTTTAGTCACTTTAACCTCCCCTGGCCTATTTTCTCGAGCATGAAATGAGGAAGGTGGACTATCAAATCCCCTTCCAGATCTGACTTTTTATAAAAAATTTATTTAGTATTTTTTTATATATATTATTATTATTATTATTATTATTTTTTTAATTGGATACCATTAAAAAATTGTCTCACCATATTGCCCAGGCTGGTCTCGAACCCCGGGCTCAAGCCTCCCAAAGTGCTGGGATTACAGGCGTGAGATACTGGCCCCTCCCCTTTTTTGGTGTTGGGGAGGGTGGTCTGTGAATGTTTTCCTTTACTGAAATTGCAGATACAAATCCTAGGAACTCACCCTGCAGGTTTGCCCCTTGTGCTAAGCGGACATGCTTAGGATACAAATCTAGGCTGAAATAGAATGTTGGAAGCATCTTTATCAGCCCATTAAAGAGCAAAGGTACAGCTTCCTGCAACTTAGACTGGGGCAGTTAAATGCCAAGAACTGAGGGCTGAGGTCTCCTCCAGCACCATCACATTGGTTGCTCATCATCATTTGTGTTGTTATTCCAAGCAGGCAGCATAAGAGGCCGAGGGCGAGGAGCAGCTGGCAACAGAGCCCCGGGGCCCAGGGGTTCCTACCTCGGGGGATATTCTGCTGGCCGTGGTATATATAGCCGATATCATGAAGGGAAAGGAAAGCAGCAAGAAAAAGGATATGAACTTGTGCCCAATTTGGAAATCTCTACCGTCAATCCAGTTGCCATTAAACCTGGTGCAGGTCAGTATGAACCAGATTTGAAAATGCATTCATTCAGCATAAACCCCCGCCCTTCTCTTTGAAGTAAGTCCTAGCCTTACTCAGGCTCTCACATCTACACATGGGTTCTCTTCTCCTAGGCAGCTAGAGACAAGGCAAAAAGAAAATGGCCCACTGAACCTCCTTACCTAGAACTTCAGGGGATGGTGTGGCTTTGACTATGTTCAAATCAAACGTGCCTGCAGTAAGGTTTTCAAAGGGGCATCACCAGTTGTCAGGCCTTTTCTCAGTCTGTGGCTAAGTAGGTAGAGTTGTGGGGGGAAGAAAGGAAGAACATGGGGCTCTCTGTATCTTCTATCAGGTAAAACCTGTCTTTTCCTTACTCAGGCCTAATTCTGCCCCATCTATCTGAAGTCAGAGGGTAGACCTTATTGCCCCATTCTGAGAGTTGTTGGGAAGGGCAGAAAATTCCCCTTCAGGAGTAAGCAGCATGTCCCTTGTCATGGTCTGAGCAAACAAGAATGCTTTGGGACAAGGAAGTGGTGACAGATTTTTGTTGTTTTTGAGGCAGGGTCTCTCTGTCACCCAAGCTGGAGTGCGGTAGCTTGATCTCAGCTCACTGCAACCTCTGCCTCCCAGGTTAAAATGCTTCTCCTGCCTCAGCCTCCCAAGTAGCCGGAGCTACCGGTGCACAACACCGTGCCCATCTAATTTTGTGTATTTAGTAGAGGCAGGGTTTCATGTTGCCCAGGCTGGTCTTGAAATCTTGACCTCAAGTGAACCACCCACCTCAGCCTCCCAGAGTGATGGTATTACAGGCATGAGCCACTTTGCCTGGCCTTCGGTGAAAGTTTTTGCAGCTAGTTCCCTGGTTTCTAATTTCCAGCACTGATTTCCTCCTCTAGCTGGATCAGTAGATTGGGAGTAGGGATGCTCAAGTATTTCAAGCCAGGGAACTTGAACTTTGCTTTCACCTCCAGGCCCCACAAACCTGTTTATCAATGTTGTTAGTGCCCATGGTCCTGTAATGTGAGGCCGGTCTTCCAATCCGAACCTGCAAAGAACATTAACTCCATATGTGAGTCTAGCATAAACTCATGCAGCACCCCACACAAGCATCCCAAGAGATGGAAAGTTCAGTCCATGGGTAATTGGCATGACCCTCCTCCAGACCCCCTCCTGGCTTCAGTACGGGTAGATCGAAGAACTTTCTGGAGCCCAGCTACTCCATTTTTCTTCTGGTTGAGAATGTACACTTCTTTCCCTAGCTAAAATAGAGTCAAGGAATCTGTGCATTGGGGACACAGGTACACATTGGTCTCATAGAGTTAGAAAGCATTTCTTCAATTGAACTTTCTTTTGATACATCTAGTAATTATTATTATTATTATTATTATTATTATTTTGCCTGTGTAAAAATTCTGCAATTTCTGCAGTTAAGTGACTCCTTAGACTAGGTTTCCTTATAAATATCATTGACATTGTGAGCATAGTGAAACTGATCCTATAGCTCTGTAACATCATAAAATAGAGCCTGGATATAGGAGTTGTCACTTCTACTTAGTGGGAAAGGGACTCCTGTTAGCAAGCTACCATAGCTTAAGGTTTAACAAGAGAAAAGAAGTGTTAAATAATCTTTAGCTGTGTAAAGTTGTGTCCTGGAGCCTGAGGCAGAAATTCTTACGGGCTGATGGCCAGAACAATTCAGTTACTTCGTACAACCCCTTGTAGCTTAAACTCACAACCCTCTCTGGGCCCCATCTGTTGGCGTCTATTTCTGGTCATCCAGAAAATGAGAACGTTTTATTTTAGGAGAGGCACCAGGGTGGTGGCGAAGTATCTGGGCACAAGACAAATGGAAGATATGGTTGGAAAGGCAGGTAAAAGATTTGGTTAAGGTTTTAGGTATATTTTATCGAATGGCTGCATCATTGTTTAGCTTACAATCATTTGTCTCTTTACCTTTGATCAAGTCTCTCTTTATTAGAATAAATGTACCCACAGTTGGAGAAAAACTAGAAATAGAAAGATTTTTTGTGTACACATATTTTTGCTTATCCTTTTAACACACACCACCATCACCACCCCACTCACACACATACGCAATCAGGGCTAATATCTTTTCCTTTTCATCTCTTCTTACTGTAACTTGACATTCAGATCCAGTAGCTGCTACCTGTTTGAATCTCTGGTTGAAATCATAATTTTGGACTTTACTTGCAGAAATTCTTTGAATTGGCAGGTCTCACTAAAAGCCAATCACTCCACTACTTCACTACTTTGAGTGGAGATGAGGAAATTGAGGAATGTCCTATTCTTTACCATGTGTTTTTCCTTGAATCGGTAACATTGAAACTGAAATACAGGGTAGGGAGGATGTACACAGGTCTGAGTTCTCAGAATGAAACTCGCAACAGCACCTGTTTCTTAAACAGTAGAGAAAGTGAATAAAAGGCAGTGGGCTGGTCATGAGTGAGGTGAATAAGAGGGAACAGGAGGGCCCAACTCTCACAGGCGGTAGACCTCAAGCCTCTGATCTCACTTCTTCATCGAAGCCATTTTCCCATAGTCAGAGGCCCTGTCTTGCTCAGTAGGACATCAAGAATAAGATTCAAACTGTGATTTTTCTGTAGAAATAGTAGAAAATACTAATACAGAAGCCTAACTCTGGGGTTCTCTTCCACGACAGGCAGGGGAAATCACCTGCCACCTCCCACCCCTGCCTCTTGGGGAGCAGGCACCTGGGTACATGGCGTGTACTGAGAGAACAGCAGTGAGCGAGGAGAGGCCCGTGACCTCTCAACGGGGTTTTAAAAGGTACCTTAGGCCAGGTGCGGTGGCTTACGCCTGTAATCCCAGCACTTTGGGAGGCCAAGGCAGGTGGATCGCTTGAGCTCAGAAGTTCAAGACCAGCCTGGGCAATGTGGTAAAACCCTGTCTCTACAACAACAACAAAAACTAGCTAGGCAAGGTGGCCTGCACCTGTAGTCCCAGCTACTCAGATGGCTGAGGTGGGAGGATCACTTGAACCCAAGAGGCTAAGGCTGCAGTGAGCCTTGATTGCACCACTGCATTCCAGCCTGGGCAACAGAGTGAGACCCTGTCTCAAAAAAAAAGTTTTTTTGGCCGGGCATGGTGGCTCATGCCTGTAATCCCAGCACTTTGGGAGGCCAAGGCAAGACAGGTCACGAGGTCAAGCAATCAAGACCATCCTGGCCAACATAGTGAAACCCCATCTCTAAAATAAATAAATAAATAAATAAATAAATAAAAATTTTGTTTTTAAAAAAATAAAAAATATCTTAGAGCAAGTGATGGAACCCACCCCTCAGCGACTGAAAGTGAGTGACCCGTTTTTCCTTCTTGCTTCTCTTGCAGTAGCCATCCCTGCCATCGGGGCTCAGTATTCCATGTTTCCAGCAGCTCCAGCCCCTAAAATGATTGAAGATGGCAAAATCCACACAGTGGAGCACATGATCAGCCCCATTGCCGTGCAGCCAGACCCAGCCAGTGCCGCCGCTGCCGCCGCCGCCGCCGCCGCCGCTGCCACTGTCATTCCCGCTGTGTCGACGCCACCACCTTTCCAGGTAGAGTTCTCGTGGCAGTCATCGTCATTTGCGTGTGAAGCCTCTCTTTCTCATGGGTTCATTTAGTATTCGGCACTGAGAATTTACTGTGTGCCTGGCTCTCTGTTACTGCTATGTGGTTGGGTGACAGGAAGCATTCTGAATACGAATTATGACAAAAAAATTTTTAATTAATTATACTACCTTAACAATATTATTAAGGGTGGGAAGCAATATGCAAAAATGGCATGTGTCATTTTTCATAGTGTCATAATACGGTACTTTTTTTTTTTTTTTTTTTTTTGAGGCAGAGTCTTGCTCTCTTGCCCAGGCTAGAGAACACTGGCACAATCTCAGTTCACTGCAACCTCCACCTCCCAGATTCAAGCAAGTCTCCTGCCTCAGCCTCCGAAGTAGCTGGGACTACAGGCGCATGCCACCACACCCGGTTAATTTTTTGTGTTTTTAGTAAGACGGGGTTTCACCATGTCAGCCAGGATGGTCTTGATCTCCTGACTGCATGATCCTCCTGCCTGAGCCTCCCAAAGTGCTGGGATTACAGGCGTGAGTCACCGTGCCCAGCCTTGTACATTTTTTTTTTTTTAACAGCACTGGATACTTTTTCACTGATGTTGTTAAAGAACTGGCACACAAAGTACAGAGAGCAATTTCATATCTTCACATTTCACACTGCAGCTCAATGAAGATGTTTAAAAAACAACCCCTACGTGTGTGTGTGTGTGTGGTTAGAGAGCAAGAACAACTGTATGGCTATGTAAAATCTTATGCTGGGTACATTGGCTCATGCCTGTAATCCCAACACATAGTGGGGCCAAGGTGGGAGGATCACTTGAGGCCAGGAGATCAAGATCAGCCTGGGCAACGTGGTGAGACACTGTCTCTACAATTTTTTTTTTTTTTTGAGATGGAGTTTCGCTCGTTACCCAGGCTGGAGTACAATGGCGCGATCTCGGCTCACCGCAACCTCCGCCTCCTGAGTTCAAGCAATTCTCCTGCTTCAGCCTCCTGAGTCGCTAAGACTACAGGCATGCGCCACCACGCCCAGCTAATTTTTGTATTTTTAGTAGAGAGACAGGGTTTCACCTTGTTGACCAGGATGGTCTCGATCTCTTGACCTCGTGATCCACCCGCCTCGGCCTCCCAAAGTGCTAGGATTATAGGCGGGAGCCACCGCGCCCGGCCTACAATTTTTTTTTTTAATTAGCCTGTCATGGTGGCATATGCCTGCAGTCCCAGCTACTGGGGAGGCTGAGGCAGGAGGACCACTTGAGCCCTTGAGGTCAAGGCTGCAGTGAGCTGTGATTACACCACTGCACTCCAGCCTGGGCAAAAGAGTGAGACCCTGTCTCAAAAAAAAAATTTACAAAATATGCCCTTAATCCTCTCCTCCAACCGTATCTCTCACTGTTCTGCTGTCTCTTCCCCAACTCATGTTACCATGTTGGCCTCTTTCCCCACCTTTGTTCGTAGTGTATCCATGGTTTCTTTATTTTCTTTTTTTTTTTTTTGAGACGGAGTTTTTTTGCTTTTGTTACCCAGGCTGGAGTGCAATGGCACAATCTCGGCTCACCGCAACCTCCGCCTCCTGGGTTCAGGCAATTCTCCTGCCTCAGCCTCCTGAGTAGCTGGGATTACAGGCACGCGCCACCACGCCCAGCTAATTTTTTGTATTTTTAGTAGAGACGGGGTTTCCCCATGTTGACCAGGATGGTCTCGATCTCTTGACCTCGTGATCCACCCGCCTCGGCCTCCCAAAGTGCTGGGATTACAAGCTTGAGCCACCGCGCCAGGCGGTTTCTTTATTTTCATCTCTTCCACAGAATCTTCCCCATCCACCTTCTAGAGAAATTTTCTCCTCTGTGCTCCTCATTACTACATCATTACTTGGCCTATGGCTGCCAGTGTGTTCTATCTCCCAATGAAAATGAAGCTTCTCCAGACCAAGGGCTGTGTCTTGTTTCTTTTATCTTCACCTCATAAGACATAGGGAGTACATCCATTTCACAGAAGAAAATCTTGTTAAAGCTATTCTCTGTGAGGCAGTGAATCACGAATACCAATCACAAGTACTCAGGCCCAAGATCCCTCATCCAAATGAATAAGAATTATCCAGGGCCCTTTTTTTGATTTTTGATTTTTGATTTTTGATTTTTGATTTTTTTGAAACAGAGTCTCACTCTGTCACCCAGGCTGGACTATACAGCTCACTGCAACGTCCACCTCGCCGGCTCAAGCAATCCTCCCACCTCAGCCTCCCAAGTAGTTGGGACCACAGACACACAACACCATGGCAGGCTAACTTTTTTATTTGTAGAGATAAAATCTTGCTATGTTGCCCAAGCTGGTGTTAAACTCCTCGGCTCAGGCGATCCTCCCACCTCAACCTCCCAAAGTGCTGGGATTACAGGCATAAGCCATCACCTAAAAACAGAGATTCTTAGATTCTAAGCCCTGAAGATTCCAATTCAGTCAAACTGGGCTGGAGTCCTAGTCTTGACTGCATTATTCAGAAAGGGCAGACTAATTGAAGTTTTATTTATCTTTCAGTATGTCATTATTCTTTAACTTGGGATCTCTGAAAGACAAAAAGAAGAATTGGTTGTAAATGACTCACACTGTAGAAATGACAACTAAGCGTAATTATAATAATTGTGGACTGATGGTAAATATTTGCAATAACTTAGCAGCAATACTTACTGGAATTCTAATAATTTCTAATTCTTCTTTACTAAGAAATTCATGAACATTTGTCTTTGATGTGTACTGTGAGTTCTGGTCAGGTCCAAATTCCAGGCGCCATAATCATGTTCTGATGATTTCATGACTATTTCTGTCTCCTATCAGTCTGCACTGGCTGTTGCCATCAGGGTCTCTATTTGGAGTCTTTGCTGATGAATTTGCTCAAAGTACAATCATTATGCATTGATTCCTTTGGAGACTTTTTCCTCCTCCACATTCTGCAGAATGCCTGGGAGCTACTTTTTCACCTGAGACTGGCTTCCTTGGATGTATGGTGGCTGGGTGTCTCGCTTCATCTAAGTACTCTGTGTCTTCATCTTTCAACCTGGGCTCTGACATGTTCAGCCCTCCACTTCTTTTGAATTCTCTGCCAAACTGCAGCAGAGGAAGGAGCGTGTTAAGCACCACTGAGTGGAGGGAAGAACACCTTTCTGAGTGGGAGCCACGCTGGAAACTGATGGCTTTCAGGACCTACTTAAACAGTGCCCTTGATCATCCTCCCCTACCTTGTAGTTGCTGGAGGGTGTTCCTGTTTAGCCATTTTAGATCCAAAATTTCATGACGTTTTTGCAAGCAATAAATAAATATTTGCTGGTGTAGACTTTATCAGTTTTTCAAACTTCTCATAGTGTTCTCAGTCTTAACAACACCACTTGCTATAGATAGGGCAAGGATAAACATTCCTCCTTGACAGGAGTGAAGATTCTTCACCTGAATTAGAGGCACTTTTTTTTGAAATGGAGTCTTGCGCTGTCATCCAGGCTGGAGTGCAGTGGCGCGATCTTGGCTCACTGCAACTTCCACCTCCAGGGTTCAAGCGAAAGATGCGTTAATGTTTCTTCCACTACCACCACTGCATTTGTATTTATTCCCGCTCTTTGCTGATGCTGTATTAATGCAATTGTATAATGGTCCCCGCTTATCCGTGGAGGATACATTCCAAAACTCTCAGTGGGTTCCTGAAACACAGATATTACCAAACCCATAATATACTATGCACGACTTTCCTTCTTTACAATTTCACAAATAGAAAATTTCTTTCTTACTGTAGCTTAGCAACCTCAGCATAGGATTTTTTTCTTCCCTTATTAAGTAGAGAACTTTCCCCTTTTCACTGAGAGGAAGGTCCCTCGTGCTCCTCTTTGTCATATCCAAATTGCCAGCGTCACTACTCTTGCACTTTGGGGCTGATATTAAGGAAAATAAGGGTTCCTTGACAGTCAGTCTGATAACCCAGACGGCTACTAAGTGGGATGGGCATGGAGCATAGACATTGTGGTTTTCCTGGACAAAGGGATGACTGTCGGGACAGAGAGGGCTGGCATGAGATTTCATGGAGCTACTCCTTAGAAAGGTGCCCAATTTAAAACTTAGGAATTGTTTATTTCTGACATTTTCAGTTTAATATTTTCAGACTTCAATTGACCACAGGTAACTGAAACCATGGAGAGCAAAGCCAAGTGCTTTCCCATTTATTCTCATTTTACACATAAGAAAATGAAGGCCCAGCAAGGTGATAGAATTGCTGGCCAGGAGTAGAATTGGGATTGGGAGATCAGATGCCTGATCTGTGTATGCTCTGTCCTGATAGCGTGGTGAATGCCATCATAAAAGGGACATCACAGGAATGGAAAGAGAAGCCTTGGGTTTGGGGAGCTACTCTTGATTCCAGACTGTGAGCCAGTGAACGTTCACGTGCATAACTTGTCCGAGCGAGCAGCCTGAACCCAGGGGTTGGGCTGGCCTGTAGCACGTGGAAAGGTTTCTCTCACGTGTCACCTTCCCTGTGATTTCCTCCCTTTTTGCGCTGGTTATTCAATCTACATCCACATGTATGGAAAAGATGGCTTGTGTCTTGCTGTGAACTGCAGTCTTTCCAGTTCCGGAGCTCCTCTCCCTGGCTGTAAAAAGCCACAGATGAGACACTCGTTGCGTGCTGTAGAAAGCAAGTTAACATGGGGCTGAAAGTGCAGGCTCCAGAGTCACACATTGCCTTGCTTAAAAGCTGTGTCATTTTGTGCAGGTCATTTAACATATCCACACAACTCCATATAATCAGAGTACCACCTCTACTGTGTGATGATTCAATACTGTCATACAAATAAGGCACTTAGAATAGTGTCTGGCAGACAATAGCCTCTGAGTTTGGAAGTTTGTTTGTTTGTGACAGGGTCTCACTTCCATTGCCCAGGCTGGAGTGCCGTGGTGTGATCTTGGCTCACTGCAGCCTTGAATTCCCAGGTTCAGGTGATCCTCGTGCCTCAGTCTCCTGAGTAGCTGGAACTACGGGAGTATGCACCGCCGTGCCTGGCTAAGTTTTGTATCTTTTGCAGAAACAAGGTTTTGCTATGTTGCCCAGGCTGGTGTCGAACTCCTGGCCTCAAACCATACTCCCTCCTCAGCCTCCCAAAGTGCTGGGATTATAGGCATGAGTCACCTCACTCAGCCTCAGAGTTGTTATTAATTGTTATAATTCTAAATTAAAATTATTATAATTACTATTTGATTGTAGTTGAAAACAGTACTCTTAGGCTAGAAGTTCCTTTGAGCTCAATTTTGTGGCTCCAATTTGTAAATTTTGTAAGAGAAATTACAACTAATTTCTTTATAAAAAATCCAGGAAGAAATAATTATTTTAATTCACCATTTCATATATGCTGAATTATTTATTTTGACGATGTATTAAGATAGAGGGGGCCAGGCATGGTGGCTCACACCTGTGATCCTAGCACTTTGGGAGGCCAAGGTGGGTGAATCACCTGAGGTCAGGAGTTCAAGACCAGCCTGGCCATCATGGTGAAACCCCATCTTTAAAAAAAAATAATAATAAAAATAAATAAATAAAGATATAGGGAGACCATACCAGCATTTCCTACAAGGCATTCTATGGATCAGGAGGTGCAACAGATATTTCGTTAAATGAATGTTTTATTTTATCCACAATCCCTTTTCAATGAAGCATCTCACCGAACTTGTTCCCCGGCAAACACTTTGGGAAGTGCTGAACCACAGTCTTCCCATTCATACTCCTGTTTGTTCTGAAAACCTCTTACGTTGCACTTTCAAGCAGACAGAAGGAAGTAGCAGGGGCTTTTCTAGAGCCAGTGGAGGCCGTCAACGGGTTAGGCAGCTTTCCTTAGCTTGTCCTCCCTCACTTCCTCCTCGTTTGGAAACTGCTCCCTCTCCTTCGAAACCCAGCTCAAATATCCCTGCTGCTGGGACATTTTCTCCAACTCCCCCGTTACTTGGTTCTTTCTCTAAGTTTCTACAAAAAATGTGTATATACAATGGTGTCATCTCTTAGGTGGGAGATGATGGAAACCACCACATGGGCTGAGAATTGTATATGGTCACTTATTTAAGGTCACAGCTTAAGAAACTTGCCCTTTGGAGATCAATATATTTGGTTCCTTTAAGTTGACCAGTCTCTTCTCCTCTCTTTTTGATACAGATCATGTTCCTTCAGTAAGTATGAATTGAGGCAGCTGGCATGTATCTAGGGGCCATATTTAAGGAAAAATACGGATTTTTAATGACTGTGAAATCAACTGCTTGGATGGTAGTTTCTCAGCTGCCTTCTCTAGCTCACTCTGGGGCATAGACTGATTGAGTAGAATGGTGGATAGAAGATTCCAGAATACAGTACAAAGAATGTCCTCCTTATTCACAAGTTCTGCGTCTGTATTCAACCAACCATGGCTTGAAAAAATAAAGACAATAAAAAATAACAATACAACAATGAAAAATAATACAAATGTTAAAATACAATGTAATAACTATTTATATAACATTTGCATCATATTAGGTATTGTAAGTACTCTAGAGAAGATTTTAAAGTGTATGGGAGAGCCCAGGTGTGGTGGCTCATGCTTGTAATCCTAACTCTTTTGGAGGCTGAGACTGGAGGATTGCTTGAGGCCAGGAGTTCGAGTGGCCCTGAGCAACATAGTGAGACCTTGTCTCTATGAAAAAAAAAAAATGTTTTTACGGTATACAGGAGGATATGCATAGGTTAAATGCAAATGTGTCATTTTGTCTCAGGGACTTGAGCATCTGAGGATTTTCGTGTCCACGGAGGTCCTAGAGCCAATCCCCCGTGAAGATACTGAGGGACAACTGTGTTTCATCTTTCCCTCAGCCTTCCAGGCCTCTCACTTTCACAAGGTCGCATTGCCGAGTTTGAGGATGCAGCTCCACCTGACCTCTTCAGTGGCTCTCATCCCACTTCCTTACAGTAACTGTTATTTGCCGGCCCCTCTGCCTTCCTCGCCCTTGCTATCACATCTCTGTACTCCCAACCCCTGGGAGAGGCTTGTTGAATGAATGGATGATAGGTACCTACAGGTGTTCAGGAAGGCTCTTTTTTGTCTCTCTTCTCAGGGCCGCCCAATAACTCCAGTATACACGGTGGCTCCCAACGTTCAGAGAATTCCCCCTGCCGGGATCTACGGGGCCAGTTACGTGCCATTTGCTGCTCCGGCCACAGCCACGATCGCCACACTACAGAAGAACGCGGCAGCTGCAGCCGCCGTGTATGGAGGATATGCAGGCTACATACCTCAGGCCTTCCCCGCTGCTGCCATTCAGGTCCCCATTCCTGACGTCTACCAGACATACTGAGGCTGGTGACCGGAGTGAAGACAGACCACACAAACGCCACTGAAGGAACGCTTGACTATTTATGAAGAAAGAATGTGTTGGATTCGCACATGCAACCTGAAAGTGAAGAATGTTCAGATGTATTCCTGAAATATTTTATACACATGAAGTTTTCACTAGTTTTTTAAGACTGTTTTCAACTTAGCAGGCCTGCGTTCATACATTTCCAAAAGACTCGCCTGGCTCGTGCCTTCATAGCATCTTTTAAAAATTTGTATGCTATACTACATTTGTATACAGGTTTTTGTTGTTGTTGTTGTTGTTGTTGTTGTTTTAAGGATATATTTTCAGTATGAAGGTTATTTTCTTAACTTCTGCACTCCAGAGATTTCTATTTTGTAGTACCTTCAATAATATATCAACTATATATTGAAAAAGCACACTTGAGCAGCTAGGGAACTATTTTGAAAAATAGATTCAATATTTAAAGATACAAACAGTAGTGCTTAAAAATACTACATAAAACATTATTATAAAGGTTATACTGGAAAGTGCAATTTTAAAATGAGGAAAACCTCTGTATTTCTGCTGGCATTAAGGGTTGACGGTGTCACCATGTATCATCCATAGCAGTACTATTTTTTAAGAGAAATTCAACACTCAATCTCTCCTTAAGCCAACATGAAAAAGACTTGCCACACTCCTGAGTCCGAACACTGGAACGCTGTCCTCTGCCACCATTAACCGGGGCTCATTCTCCATGTGCCTTAGCCTTAAACGTTCCCCCGAGACCCCGCCTCTCCTCACGTCCCCTCCTCCCAGATTCCTGGTCCCATCGCAATGTCTGGCAAGTCTAGGACTGATGAATAGCTCTGATAGAAGAGCTGGTGGCTTTTATACTTCTTCCTGGGTTTTTGTCGGGGTTTGTTATTTCGTTGTATGTTTTTTTGTTTTGGTTTGGTTGGGGAAGTATCATCTTCTATGTATGCTATTTTCAGTAGCAGAGTAAGCACAGGTTTTAATCAGGTTGCATAAGACACCTTTGCATAGCTATTTAATTGCCCATTATAAAACTTTAAGGCCATTTCTAATGCTTTTATTAGTTTTTGAAGTATGAGTTTGTAGGGACAAAGAATGTATGTGATTGTAGACAAGACCCCCTAGAGACTCTTGTCAGAAGAAAGTGATGCTTCTAGTTGCCTTATCAAGTTTCATGCAGAAATGTCCGTGGTCCTCAAGAGTGTTGGAAACATTATGTTTATTAAATGGGCCTCTCTTCTCTTGCCATGCACTTGATGGGCAAACTGAATTGGGGCGTACACATCCAGGAGGAGGAAGAGAGACCTTGAGAAGTTTAAAGATAGTTTGTAAATATCTTCTAATGCTTGTTTTTAGTCCTTTTATGTTGCAGAAGTTTATGATACGTAGTTTAATGCAAAGTGAAACCATTTTATTTCAATGTTATTAAAAAGGTTTGTTTTATTAGGAAGTTAATGTATTGTTGCAGTGTTTTGTGCCTGTTTAAAGGCTTTTTGTTTAGCAGAATGAATGTAAAATACAGTAAAATGTTAAGATTGTCATCTACTTTTTTTTGGAACTATATCAACTTGGAATTTTTTTTTTAAAAGGCTCAATCAAGGAAGTGAGGTGTGCAATAAGGTAGCAAGTATGCAGTTGCATTTTTATGTCATGTTAGAGATCCATACAATCTTCCCACTCACGGGGTTTTTCTTGATGGCTGAATTCCTGTGGATTAATAAGAGGATCATGCCCTTAGCAAGTACTTTTGTTTTGTTTTAAATTAAGAGATTCCCAAATGCCTTTCTCCCCCCTCATCTTGAGATGAGTTTTTATATATAAGCAATATTTATTTAACTATTCTATAAAATTATTGAGTGCCTGCTGAGGCCTTTAAATATTCCTAACATTCCTTTCCATCATTCTCAAATGACATAAAGTAATTGTGCAATGTTCCTGATGATGTACCCCGCAAGCTGCATCCAAACTCGAATCTGTTGGAATGAGTGACCCAACAAAATGTAATTCAGATCAGATCCTCATCCTTTGTGCAAAAAAAAGTACTCTCCTTCTAGTGAGGGACTGTCACAGAGGTTCACTGGATGAAACTCTGACCCAGTATTCTTACTGTATTTTACATATGCCTGTAAATTATTTGCAAAAAAAAAAAAAGAAGAAGAAGAAAAGAATGAAAGAAAATTAAAAAACCAAAAAACAATGATGCCTTAACATGGCAACCACCAAGCTCCCTTAAAAACAAATGTTGGTGACATAGCCAGTTAAGTATCAGTGAGCCTCCTACCTGGGACTTATCTGTTCCTACTGTTTCAAAACCATTTCATGTACACTACTGCTGAGGTAAGTTTATAACTTGAAATGTGAACTTTTTTTTTTTTTTAGGGTTAAGAACAAACTATATAAATATAAAAAAAAAAGTTTTAGAGTTCTGTTTTCAAACATTGCTAGTAGTTTAGTTAACTTTAGCTGCTTTATATTTGAAAAGCTTTTATTTAGATCTTGCTCCATTTACAATACATTCTTAGGATGTATGTAGTAAATAAAGCTTTCTTTAAAGCGATTGCAAAACCTTAATTGTGTTTTCTTTATACTGATTTATTTTTTCTCAAAATATTAGGGAAACCCTAATAGCATAGAAAGGATTGGCTAATTTGATATTTTCCGTTGGAGAAATCAGCAAGTTACAGTCATATGTTTGTCTTGGGGTAACCATTGAAGATGGATTCCATAGACCAGGTGTAGTGGCTTATGCCTGTAATCACTTGAACCCAGGAGGCACAGGCTGCAGTGAGTCGAGATCGTGCCATTGCACTCCAGCCTGGGCAACAGGAACAAAACTCCGTCTCTCTGTCTTTCTCTCTCTCTCTCTCTCTTTCTCTCTCTCTCTCTCTTTCTGGTCTCGAACTCCTGACCTCAGGTAATCTGCCCACTTCGGCCTCCCAAAGTGCTGGGATTAAAGGCGTGAGCCACCGCGCCAGGCCAAAACGCTATCTAAAAAAAAAAAAAAAAAAGATGATGGGTTACATAGCAAACTGTGAATTATGAGTATCCTCAAACTTTGGCTTAGGTGGTAGGAGACGGTAAGAGGTTGAACACTCAAATAATACTCAAATCTGGATCGGAATAAGATGTAGCAAAGCCTGTCACCACTCTCAGTGCCAAAGTTTATTTATAATCCCAAAGGCTTGTAAAGGGAGAGAGTTGATGTACATTGAATTTTTTGATGGTTTCATGAAAGTGCTGGGATGGCCTTGATGCTGGTCATTGCATTTGAAACCAAAACCTTGTTTCTCCTTTTCAGTGCATAGTGAGGTTAGCAGGAAACTTTGCTTTTCTCCAGAGATCATCAGTAACTTCAGGCAATATCTGTCATCAAAGCCAATCAAATGACGAGAGAAGATGGTAGATTGCCAATAGAATAAAGTCTAAAAATTGTTCCACTTGGATTTGCCAGTGATTAAGAATTTTACCTTCTTAACTTTGAACCTGGGCTGTGGCTTCCCGATTTGCATTTCTTGGAATTCTAACTTCCTGCTTCCTCTTAAATAGATAAAGGCCTTTTTAGAGGCAGAACAGACTGGGAAACTTCCCAAGATGACAGCTTATTAGGCAGTGTTTTTAGGGGCAACAAGATCTACTGATCTACTTGTTCCGGGAAATAATTACAGAAGCCCTTCAGGTTGCACAATCACATTCAGGTTAGATTGATCTCTTTAGAAAAAGAATTCACAATCAGAATAAGGAGGCCAATAGTGTGTCAAATGAGGATAATGACTATAATCATGTGATTCACTGGGCCCTTAGGCTTCCATAGCCTCAAGTGGACCTCGCAGAACCTCACTGGAGTAGGCAGGGCAGATACAGATATGTGACAGGTCAAGGTCACCCAGCTGGTAAGAGTGGGACTCAAATCTATACTCAGGTCTGAGTGTCGTGGCTCAAGCCTGCAATCCCAGCATTTTGGGAGGCCAAGGTGGTCAGGAGTTCAAGACCAGCATGGTGAAACCCCATCTCTACTAAAAATACAAAAATTAGCTGGGTGTGTGGTGGCACCTGTAGTTCCAGCTGCTCAGGAGGCTGAGGCAGGAGAATCGCTTGAACCTGGGAAGGAGGGGTTGGGGTTAGGAGGGCAGGGTTGTGGTCCAGCCTGGGTGACAGAGTGAGACTTTATCTCAAAAAAAAAAAAAAGAAAAGAAAAGAAACATTAAGCTCAATACTCCTTGTTTCAAGATCTAAATGCCCCCATTTTTTTAAATTCCAAAAATACCTGCCATGACAACAAAGCACTTAACTGAGTTAGAAAACATGATCTGATTTTTCTTGTATATCCAATTTTTATATGATTTCTTTATTATAAAGACTTCTAGGCACTAAAGCTTTCTATTTGAGTTTTTTGTTTTGTTTTGTTTTGTTTGGATTTGATGTTTTAAGTCACAGGAAGTGTGACATTTTGGCATAGCTGTTTTGATGAAATGATGTTTTGACACCATGACCCTAAAAAAAATCAATCTTCAGCTTTTTACAAAATTACTGAGTAGGATGACACAGACGTACTTACCTTATCCTATCTTTTTCTTGACACATCCACCAAATTTCTGAACCCCCACGTCAAAGAGAGGATTAGGTTTAAATACAGAAAGAGACTCAGGGAGACATCCACAAAACGTTTTGCTTCAGTTCCAAGGTCTAAGCTATTGGACTAAACACACCTTTTTTTCCTGTCTCCTCTTTTCGCTTATTAGTACCCAGCATTCCTGTTTCTCTCTTTTTTTTTCCTTTGAGATGGAAGGTTCGCTCTATTGCCCAGGCTGGAGTGCAATGACACGATCTCGGCTCACTGCAACCTCCACCTCCTGGGTTCTAGCAATTCTCCTACCTCAGCCTCCTGAGTAGCTGGAATTACAGGTGCGTGCCACCACGGCTAGTTAATTTTTTTTTTTTTTTTTTTTTTTTTTTTTTTTTCAGTAGAGATGGGGTTTGACCATGTCGGTCAGGCTCCTGTTCTCGAACTCCTGACCTTGTGATCTGCCTGCCTTGGCCTCCCAAAGTGCTGGGATTATAAGTGTGAGTCACTGCACCTGGCCTCCAGCATTCCTGTTTCTAACTCTTCATGCCAACAAACTTGGGAGAGGAAATGTGATTACCCAAATGGTTACCTGTATGAGCAAGTGCCATGGCTTACTAAAATAGGCTGGGTTTGTGGTCAGAATGCCTAGAGGTGAAACCTCAGCCTTGCTACTTGCAAGTCGTGAGACCTTGAAAAAGACGCCTTACCTCTCTGAGCACCAGTTTCTTAACTGGTAAAAAAGGGATAATAATCCTGACCTCATAAGGTTATTATAAAAATGAGATGAGTTAATCTGAAAAAGCCTAGTACATTGTTGGTACTCTTCTAGAAAGTTACTTCTTTTCCCATCTCCTTTTTAAACTCTAGTGTGACTGCATTCCTCTTTGTTAATTCTATCAAGTCTTGTCTTGTCTTTTCTTTTCTTTTTTTTTTTTTTTTTTGAGACAGAGTCTCGCTCAGCCACCCAGGCTGCAGTGCAGTGGCGCATTCTCTACAACCTTTACCTCTCAGGTTCAAGAGATTCTCCAGCCTCAGCCTCCCAAGTAGCTGGGATTACAGGCATGTGCCACCATGTCCGGCTAATTTTTTTGCATTTTCAGTAGAGACAGCATTTCACCATGTCAGCCAGGATGGTCTCAAACTCCTGACCTCAGGTGATCCACCCACCTCAGCCTCCCAAAGTGCTGGGATTATAGGCATGAGCCACTGCACCTGGCCACCTTTCCATTTTAAATCCTTTTATTCTTTTTTTTTAACTTAAAATTTTCATTCGCTGAAATTTTTTATTCTTTTATTCACATATTTATTCCATCAACATTCATTGCTGGAGTGCCACCTGCAGATTCGCCAGAGAAATAAGTCAATAAAATTAACCCTCTGGCTTCTGGAAACTCTCAGGCATGATAGGACTGTTTTATGGGAGGGGGCACACACCCAGCCTTGAGCCAGAGACCTACAGGAAGAGTAGGCGTTTGGCAGATGAGCAGGGGGAAGGGAGCGGGAAATGCCTGGGCCCAGAGGATAGAACACGGTATCAAGTCCACGAAAGCAGTTCAGGGTGGCTGCCTTAAAGGAGGAGAAAAAGTGTGAAGAAATCCAACCTTTGCACTGCTCAACATTAAATATGGTTCATGTCCCTGGGTTAGCTGTGGAAGGTAGAGATTTGGTCCCTATGACAGGGAAGCTGGAATCACATGGAAAGAACCCTCAGTCATTTATTTCTCCTTAAGACTTTCAGGAAACAATGGAGCCTTGGATTTCTCTACGCGGCTGAAGCTGAGAGCTGCCCCTAGTGAAAAACTCCCTGCTGCCTTCCTGGCCCGGGGGAATGCCTGCCAACTCTGAGCTTGCCCAGGAGTTTGTGGCAGCAATCAAAGCTTGTAGGGCTGCCCACCCGTTTCATGTGCAGGTTCAGATTCCAGTCTGTAGGACCTTCACTCTCTCCCCTCAGATCATACAGCAGCTGCATGTGGGTGTCCCCACCGTCCCTAGGTAAACCCCCCGTAGGACAGGAATGCAGACTTCTCAGCAAAGGTGATGGTGGCCTATAGTCCTCCAGATGACTGAGGGTGGATGATATGGTTTGACTGTGTTCCCACCCAAATCTCATGAACTGTAGCCCCCATAATCCCCATGTGTTGTGGGAGGGAGCCAGTGGGAGGTAATTGAATCATGGGGACGGGTTTTTCCCATGCTGTTCTCATGATAGCATCTCATGGGATCTGATGGTTTTATCAAGGGCAGTTCCCCTGCGCGCACTGCTTGCCTGCCACCATGTAAGACGTGCCTTTGCTCCTTCTTCACCTTCTGCCATGATTGTGAGGCCTCCCTGCCCATGTGGAACTGTGAGTCCATTGAATCTTTCCTTTATAAATTACCCAGTCTTGGGTATGTCTTTATTAGCAGCATGAGAATGGACTAATACAATGGAGGAAAGTCCCAAATAAAATCTTCAGAGGCACATTGGCTTCCCCAACGGGATCATATTTCTATGAAACTCCATTCTGCTCCGTTACCACGAATAAAAGCAACGCTAAACCCTGCATAGGCAAGAAACATGACCTTTCCTGGGCTAATTTTTAGCCACTCTTTTTTCTTGGCTTGTTCTACTTTGTTTGTCAAAAATCTTCATTAATGATTAACCCACCATGAGGTTTAAATAGACCTTAGTCATTCTGAGGCAGCTAAGAGATGTCACTGAAACCCAGTTGTTTCTGAGATGACCTTGCTGGGGTGTGCTGGGTCAAAACATTGGCGCTTACAGTATTGTGATAACACGGGGCCATGCCAGTTGGGTTTTGCTGGGATTTTTCCTCTCCTTTTTCAGAACCTTTATTCCAAACTGCTGGCACCATGAGATAGTTTTATTTCCATGAACCTCACCATCCTCACCCCCACCCCAATTCAAATATGGCCATTTGATCCTTTCCCCATTTTTTTTTTTTTTTTTTTTTTGAGACAGAGTCTCGCTCTGTCACCCATGCTGGAGTGCAATGGCACT